AAGTATATATATTTCGTATATTACAATCCATTCATCACCAAGTAGTTTGGATCTAGGAACCATGGGGAATATTCTGTATATGTATAAATGCATGTTGATGCACTGAACCATGATTATTCTTTCTTCATTTTGTTACTCGCTCGTCTCTTTTTCACAAGGGGCAAAACATTTCCCTTCAGCATCTTCTCCTTCCTAATCCTTCTTTATAGTAAGTCCCAATCTACCAAATTTGGTCTGATTTCATGGCTATAGCACTGTTTTTCTCTCTGGCTGTATTTCATAAGATTGGTAACCCATGGTATATTTATTGATGGTTTACTGAACATACATTGCTAATTATTCACACAATACAATGAATCAGGATAACAGCAGGATATGAGCTACACGCTACATTTTAACTTAGTACTTTGTAGATTAATGTGGTAAAATAATGCATAATAGTAGACTAGATTGCCAACTCTTGATGGCTTAACGTATTATGTGAAATCAGTCAGTTGTAGTTCAATAAAATATGATTAAGCAAATAATTGTTTAGTATGTGTGAATCTCAATCACTATCTCTCAGCCATTTATTTAATTGTGAAGTGCCAATCTGGCAGTCAATATGGGGTGAAAGCTAAGTATAAACATATTTAATAAGTTAGAGTGTAGGAGTCTTATCACATTGGATCAGTTCAGATCATTTATTGCAATCCATGGCCAAAAAACAAAATTACCTAAAGAAATGTATTATCCCAACTCACAATCAATTTGTATCAGATAGTTAATAAACTGAAAACATTTATGCAATCTTGTAACAATCAACAACAGTCAGACACAATGCAAAAAAAAAAAAAAACCTAGATAAATTTCCAGGTTTCATCATTTGTTTGCTAGTAACACAGGCTACAAAGCAGAATTTGGCAACTATAAAAATACTATGATGATTAAAATCTGTGAAGAAAATTGAGATATAAAACTTAACTGATCTACAACAAACCCAACCATGAATTGGAATTGGAACATTACTTGATCTACAGCAAACTTACCTTGACCTGGAAAGCAACAGACTGATAATATAACAGCACACAACACATTGTTTCAACTGCTTCTAAATGACAAGGGCAAAACCTTTCCACAAAGGGAGTAAGTTGTTATGTTCCTTCCATTAGGGCTGAAGGCAGAGCACTGAAATGAGTTAAGATGAAACCCCTATGGTATTTTTCAATATCAAGAATGTAATGATATTTAGCAGGGAAAAAGCTTTGCTTAAATTTCTCTTTTCAAAGCAACAGTCAGTCTTAGTATTATCCCTCTACAAATCAATTTCCATTAGATGTTGTTGAAACAGCAATTGAAACCTCTTTAGTTATAGGGAAATCCAAGGACTCCAAAGCTAATGAAGACAGACCACAGTTGTGTAGTTTCATCTCCAAGTCTCCTTCCAAGTTGAGTGAAAGTCATCTGGGGGAACCAAGGGAGCTAGGCCCTCAGGGTGGGATGTCAATGAAAGCTAGTAAGTGATCCTGCTTCACTGATCTTTAGCTGCACTTTTGAGAACCTTTACTTATGTTCTTTGGGGGAAAAGATTCAGCCACCCTCTTCATAATTTCCTAATGGAATTCTTGGCCCTATCCTGTCCTGATAACAAGAAACTGCCAGCTATTTCTCTTGATTAAATTGCATAAAACAGAAAAACAGCAGAGTGGGGGTTGGGAGGGCAAGGAAAAGTAATCTGGATGAAAACAAGCAATGTCATTCAGAGGTAATAGAATCCTTATTTCCTGAGATCACTGAATATATTCACAAAAGAACCTAAGACAGGGATTTGTACTTTGAAGATGAGTTCAGACTGCTGACTGGTACACTTAATTTCCCTCTAAGAAAGAGTTTGGAATATAATAATATACCTTACGTGTGTATAGTGTATTCATGTTTGTAGTATTTCTATTAAAATAGCCTGCATTGATACATGTTATGGCTATTATTGTTGTTCTTACTACCACTATGTTTAGAGTTAATTGTATATTAATTGTGTTTAAAATAGCCTTGATAAGGTTGATGATCATGATTATTTTTACGTTCTGAATAAGGAGAAAAAGGAAGCTAAGAAAGAATGAATTGCTTAAGGCCATCAGGTGCATAATGGGTAGACTATGGCAAGTGGATTATAACTGTTTTATAGAAGCTTTAGTCTAATCCTTCTGTTATCTAGAATTGTATCTCTGCTATCCCGGAAAGAAACATCTGTATATTATTTCCAGACATATTGGACTAGATACTGCCAAAGGAAGTGGCCATGACAGTGGGGGTTTGCCTCATTTGTGAAAAACTCAGATGCCTCATGATAGACCAACTGCTTCCCGTAAGTGAAGGAAACAAACATTCTGGCAGTCACTTTGCATTCGTGAGCTTCTTACAAAAGGAACAAGCAGGATGAGTCCTCAGGGATAACACCACAAATAACACCACCAGTACTGAGCTTAGCCTTCTCCAGTGTGATGCTTCCAAATCTGTTGAACTTCCATAATTCCCAGCCAGCTAGTGGAGGGCATGGCAACCACCTTAATAAATAATCATATTATTAATATTATAATTAATACATGTATATTATTAGTATAATTATATTAATACTTAATAAAATGGTACCATCCACACACTATAAGAGGGATGAATCAATAGGCTTTGAAGAACTAACACAAAGTTTGCAGAAGTACAAAAACCTTTAGGAATAAGAAACTAAAAAACAAAACAGGTTAAAGAGAATAGCACACAAACAGTAGCTCTAAATTGCTGGGTGTTGCAGAGGGGTGGGGTAGAGAAATACTGAAACTGGAAAAGGGCATAAATGGAGCTTCTAGAATCTTGAACTGGAGCTACCTCAACTGCAATGTTTTAATGCCAATTCTACGTCTAACAATAAATCACAATGTGTGGTTGCAAAACATTATGATTAGTCAAATATATGGAACAACATAATTGAAATATTTCTGAAAGCCATTTCATGACTTCCCTTTTAAAATTAATTTGAAAAAACACCTTTCAATTCCTTCATAATGCATGATATTGGCTTTTTCTTTGGAGTTAATATTTTATAAAAATATATATCCTGTCAAACTATTCCCATTTCCACAGATGTTTGTTTGGCTGAAAAAGTTGCCCATTCCTAACCTCATGTATTCATCATGACAATTGCAATAACACTGACACCAATGGCAGCTTTTGAAACAAAAAACATTTTGGCTTAATAAGGTCTGCAAGTAAAGCCAGTGTAAGATTAAGAAAAAAAATGGCTTGTTGTTTGGCATTCAGTATTAACAAATTACATCGAAGTCTATAGTTTCAAAGCTTGCTAAGAATTTTGAACACAACAGAGATGAATCAGAAGTTTTGATTATCAACACTGCTGAAAGTATTATGGTGGTTGCAATCTTTGATTACAGGAAATAATCTTAATTGAATATGAAATGTATAAGTAGACATATATTGATTAATTAACTGAACGTGTACCATCAAGTCAGTGTTGACTCTTAGCAACCACATAGATTTTCTGCAGAACAATCTGTTCCCAACCAGGTCCTTCAGATCTTCCACTGGTGCACCCATCATTAGTACTATAATCAAGTCCATCCATCTTGCTTCTGGTTCTCCTCTTCTTCTCTATCCTTCTATCTTTCCCAGCTATATAGATTTTTCAAGAGAGAATATAATAATTTGTGCCTGGTCATTTATGCCCTGAGTGAGAACTCTGGATTGATCTGTTGTACAATCCATGTTTGTTTTTTTGGCTATCTGATTTTCTCAGGAGTCTTCTCTAATACCAAAGTTCAAAAGCATCAATACTTTTTCTATCCTGCTTCTTCAAAGTCCAACTTTCACTTCCATAGAGTGTCAGAGAGAAAGCCATTGCCTGCATGATTCTGCTGTTTGTAGATATAGACACATAGTGGCATGTGAATATCTTTTCTAAGGCCTTCATTGCTACCCTACAGTTCTAGTATAAGGTGTATTTCTTGACTGCTCATTCCTTTACTGCTGATCCTAAAAGATAGAAAATTTCTATCCTGTGCTTATTTTTATTTATTGGATAGATACAATGATTTCTTGTATACAGGCAAAGTTTAATTGTACATTATGTGTGTAACCATACGTAAGTTTACTTTACTCACTCTTGACAAGAACCAGTAATTGCAGAACACAATTATAGAGATTAAGCATAAAATAGAAAGGGGGTGTATGAGTATGGGTGCATGCCTGAATGTGTTCCTACAGAACAGGCACTCTGGAAAGTTTGTTTTTATGAAGCTGATTTCCCCTAACAAATAATCAGAAGCAAAGTGCTATATGCAAAACTGAAATATTGTGTAATCTAATAAACGGTTCTGGTATTTCTGATGATTAACATATTATTGGATATGGTTTGATTGACTACCATCTACTTCATCAACTGCCTGAATACCTGTACATAGTGTATATTTCTGATGGGAACTGCAAGGAAATAAATACTGGAAATAAAATACAGAGAAGATAGCACAGAAATTATCTTTGGCTTAATAGTGACTACTGTATTCACAAAACAGTTCTTGAGCGGTAACACAATCATCTTTGCATTGGGGAGACAGTTAACCCGGTTTTTTTTAGGTACACTTCACGTGCTTATCGGCTGACGAAGACAAGAACGTTGTTTTTCGCACTAGCTAGACAACATTTTCGCACCAATTTATGATTAACAAAAAAAAAAATCACAAGACAGCAGCAAAGCATTCTAGGAAACATATTCATTTCAGTTTCCGTTCTCATAGAAGCTCCAATGGCTTTTGGAATAGAAACACTACATTACCCAGTCGTCCTTGTTCAAAAACAGTATCTTTCCCCTCTCTCGAGTTTTTCCTGTACGGTGTTGCATGCCGGTAGCGGTAGTTTTCAACTACCTCCATTCGATACCACGCCGCTCGGTTTCCTTGGAAAAGAAAACTACAATTCCAATCTGCCCTAGCCGGTTGCGCTTGCGCCGTCTGCATGGAAGGAGGGAGGGGAAAGGCCGTTACGTCGCGGGCAACGGCCACGGTAGTGAAGAGGCAGTAAGCGGTAGTACCGGAGGTTTACGTGTTCGCTGCTGGGTTCGTGCCGAGTAATAGGAAGAGGGCGAGTTTTGTCAGGCTCTGTCCGTCCTGGTGGAAAAGTGGGGATGAAGCTGTGAGGGGGCGCGTACCGAAGGAAGTGAAAAAAGAGACCGGCCGCAGGCAGGCAGAGGAGGAGAAGGCGCGGAGCGATGTCTCAGCCGCCTCAGCAGGAGCAGCAGCCGGTGGCAACGCTGGTTCCGAAGAAGAAGGACCGGCGTATCTTCTCGGGCACTTGTCCTGACCCCAAGTGTCAGGCGCGCCTATTTTTCCCGGCGCACGGGCCTCTAAGCAGCGGAAGCATCGAGTGCACGGACTGCGGGCAGCGTCATGAACAGCGGCAGCTGCTGGGGGTGGAGGAGGTGACGGATCCCGATTTGGTGCTGCACAATTTACTGCGGAACGCACTGCTAGGAGTGAGTGGGGCAGGGCCCCCCAGGAAGAACACAGAACTGGTGAAAGTCATGGGCCTGTCAAACTACCACTGCAAGCTGCTGTCACCCATCCTAGCCCGCTATGGTATGGATAAACAGACGGGCAAAGCTAAGTTGCTAACTGAGATGAACCAAGGAGATGTTTTTGACTGTGCTCTTCTTGGGGACCGTGCCTTTCTTATTGAGCCTGAGCATGTTGACACTGTAGGATATGGCAAAGATCGCTCTGGCAGTCTCCTGTACTTGCAGGATACCTTGGAGGATATTAAGAAGGCCAATAATAGCCAGGAGTGCCTCATCCCAGTCCATGTGGATGGTGATGGCCATTGCTTAGTCCATGCAATTTCCCGGGCACTGGTGGGTAGGGAGCTCTTTTGGCATGCTTTGCGGGAGAACCTCAAGAAGCACTTTATGGAGAATCTCAGCCGCTATAAAGCCCTTTTTCATGACTTTATTGATGCCACAGAATGGGAAGACATAATAAATGAATGTGACCCCTTATTTATTCCCCCTGAGGGTGTGCCAATGGGCCTTCGAAACATCCACATCTTTGGACTGGCTAATGTTTTACATCGGCCCATCATTCTCTTGGATTCTTTGAGTGGAATGCGTAGTTCAGGGGACTATTCTGCCACGTTCCTTCCTGGATTGATACCAGAAGAAAAATGCATGGGGAAAGATGGCATGTTGAACAAACCAATTTGTATTGCTTGGAGTAGTTCTGGGCGTAATCATTATATTCCTCTGGTTGGAATAAAAGGTGCTGCTTTGCCTAAATTGCCTATGAAATTACTTCCTAAAGCTTGGGGAGTGCCTCAAGACCTTATTAAAAAGTATATCAAATTGGAAGACGATGGTAGTTGTGTGATTGGAGGAGACAGAAGTTTGCATGACAAATACTTGATGAGGCTAGTTGCAGCCATGGAGGAAGTTTTTATGGATAAGCATGGCATTCATCCCAGTTTAGTAGCTGATGTACATCAGTACTTCTATCGGCGGACTGGTGTGATAGGAGTTCAGCCAGAAGATGTCACAGCAGCTGCTAAAAAGGCAGTTATGGACAACCGACTTCACAAGTGTCTCATTTGTTGTGCTCTTTCAGAACTTCATGTTCCTCCAGAGTGGCTAGCTCCAGGAGGGAAGCTGTATAATCTTGCAAAAAGTACCCATGGCCAGTTAAGACCTGATAAAAATTACAGCTTTCCCCTGAACAGTTTGGTATGCTCCTATAATCCTGTAAAGGATGTACTAGTACCAGACTACAGTTTGAGTAGTTTGACTGCCTGTAATTGGTGTCATGGCACATTGGTGCGTCGTGTGAGAAGTGATGGCTCTGTTGTATATTTGGATGGGGACAGAACAAATACTAGATCAACAGGTGGCAAATGTGGTTGTGGATTCAAACATTATTGGGAAGGTAAAGAATATGACAATCTCCCTGAAGCTTTCCCTATTACTTTAGAGTGGGGTGGGAGAGTGGTGAGAGAGACAGTATATTGGTTCCAGTATGAAAGTGACCCTTCTCTGAACAGCAATGTATATGATGTTGCAATGAAGCTTGTTACTAAGCACTTTCCTGGAGAATTTGGTAGTGAGATTCTTGTCCAGAAGGTTGTCAACACAATTCTGCATCAAACAGCCAAAAAGAACCCTGATGATTACACTCCTGTAAATATTGATAGTGCTCATGCCCGAAGAGCTGATGATATGCAACAAGGACAAGATATGGCATCTCAGCTTCCAACCAAAATTATTCTTACTGGGCAGAAAACAAAAACACTGCACAAAGAAGAGCTGAATATGAGTAAAACTGAAAGAACTATTCAACAAAACATTGCAGAACAGGCATCCATAATGCAAAAACGAAAAACTGAAAAATGGAAGCAAGTACAAAAAGGGCCAGCTAGAACTGTGTCTCCTGGTACTGTTCCTGATGGGTCATCCTCTGCACCTGCTACTCCCACCAAGACTCCTTATTCTCCAATATCTACGAAAGAAAAGAAAATTCGCATAACAACAAATGATGGGCGACAGGCCATGCTCACTTTGAAATCCACTACGACATTTCTAGAATTGCAGGAAAGCATAGCTAGAGAATTTAATATTCCTCCACATTTGCAATGTATTCGCTTTGGCTTTCCTCCCAAGGAGCTTCTGCCACCCAAAGAAGGGCAAGAAAATGAACCTGTTCCTCTGCTGCATGGAGACAGAATAACTATAGAGATTCTTAAAGGGAAGGAAGATAATAACCAGGCTAGTTCAGTGCACTCAGCTCATGCTGTGAAGCATGATGATGTTGCTGTTACTAGCAGAATTTCTTCCAAGGAACTCCAAGAGCAAATAGACAAGGAAATGTACTCTTTGTGTCTTCTTGCAACATTTATGGGTAAGACAATACTAATCTCCTTCTTTGAAGTATAAAAATATCTAGAAATGTACAGTACCAAAATAAGTACTGGCTAGCTCCTACAAGTTCTTTAGTAATAATAAAACCACTTGTTTTCTGTCTTTTACCATACCTGTTACTGTAGGTTAGAAGCATTTTAATATTAAGTAATACTGTAATCCAGTATTGATTGAACTCAGTGAAACAATTCTGCCTAGAGAAGTATGGGGCTTCATGAAACTTGGAAAAACTGTTAGTTGCAAATTTAGACACAAACAACCTTATTTATTTAAAAAGAAATATCTCACTTTTTCTTGAATACTCTTTATGAAGCACTGAATTGAGGTTTTGAAATACCTTCTAATATATTCAGCACAAACTTTATCTTGATTTATTATCTAAAATATAACATTTTATTTAATGTACAACATGGAGCATATTTGTTGTTTATACTTCTTTTTCATAGGGAATTCATTTCCATGGGGAGTTTGTGTTGTTAAAATATGCATTTAAATCTGAAATTGCTCTACAATTTAAATTCGTAAAGTTGATCTGTTAACATAGTGCTTAATACAGCAAATAACTGTCTGCTATTTGGCCAAATCTAATAGGAATTATATTTTAGGAAACCTTTTTAATTAAATTAATTGGTGGTGTTACAGATTAAATTAATATTTTGTAGTCCATGTTACAGGCTTGCAGGATGCATAACATAGAAAGTATTGTTTGACTTCCAACTGGTTGATATATGTGTCTTAAGCATTGTTTTGCTGCAATTAAAAAAATCCTTTGGTTTGCCTCAGGTTTCCAGAAAGCCCTCCGGAAATGTACTTCCTTTTACCACCCCCTTGTGACATCATTTGTGTTATTTAATTTGAAATGGACTTTCCAGTCCAGACAATATGAATGAAGCAATGCAAATTACTTTTTTAAAAAGCGAAGCTTCACTGTGTAATCTTATGAATTGAAAGCTTAATAGTATATCTTGCATAAAGGAAAAACAATGTTATTCTTTCAAATGAAACCATGTTTTCAATAAAAATTCAATTCTTTTCCTGGACTCTCTTTTCTTCTTGAATACAAGTTGAAAAGATGGAAGGAAGAGATTGTAGGGGTTTTTTTTGCTTGTCCTAATTTCTCTAAGTGGAAATGAGGGAAACAAAAAAAAAGTCTGAAATAAAACTGGGTTAATTTATGAGTTGTAATGCTTTGATATATGACAGAAAAAATGGGGGGAGAGAAAATAAATAGATGTGCATCTAATATGTGTGTGTGGGGGGGTGTATGCCTGTGACTAAACAAAGGTGAGTGTACTATGATAGCCTTTTTCCAACCTGGATTATTACTGTCAGAATTGGAAACCATCATAATAATTATCCATGCTGGTTCCAACACATCTGGAGGCATCAGGCTGGTGTAAGTGATATTGAGTGGTATATTTTGGAGTGGCTTGATTCAAACATTACAGATCATAATGTAAGTACAGACCTTGTACGAGTTTCAGTTTTGTGTACTCTCTCCATCCTTTGTTTGTGAATAGGACTTTAGAAATTATTATTCTTCACTCTAACAACAGTCATCAGTTACGTCTAAATTTTGGATTATTGTAATTGGTGTTAAAATAAGTCTTGTTATCAAACTACTGTTTAGTTAACTAGTTTTGAGTCATGCTAATTTATTATCAGAGTTTGGACAAAACAGGAAATTATTCAAAAGCAGAAACTATATGACTCCTTGTATGCAGACAACTAAGAAACAGGCAAGAGAGAGTCTTAAGTCTGAAATAAGTACAGGCACACTTACACTCTTCTAATTACTTCTGAACTGTATCAATTGTGTTAACTGATTGCATACAAGATGCTGTAAGTTACTGAAACATGAATTTTAAGACTTGGTGGAAGGCTTGGCAATGCTTTTTTTTTTTTTAAGTGTTATATCATCATGCCATGGAAGTGGCAAGTCATGCCCTTGACCTGGTTTTCACTACAGATTGAATTGGGAATAGCCTAGTAATGGAAGGGATTACTGTGACCCTTTTAACAAGGGTTATTTCCTGGATTAATGATAACTAGCCCCTCTTGCAAAAGTGAGAGGTCCATACATACCTGAAAGGAATATAAGAAGTCATCTTAGATTGAGTCTGAGTATAATATGGAGACAGAAAAATAATTTAATTTATTAATTAATTTAATTAATATTTTCAGAGGGGTGGGAGGATTGTTTTAAATTCAGAATCATATTCCTTTCAAGTAAATATGGTATAAAAGTGGTTCATCTCCAGATGTTTATACAATCTGACAGATTCTTGAATTGCCTGACATTGTAGGAGGAGAACTGTATTAGTTTATGGTGGCAAAAAATTGGGAGTCTGGTAGCACCTTTTCCAACTAACTAGTTTTATTAAAAGGCATAAGCTTTCATGAGCTGTGAAAGCTTATGCCTTTTAATAAAACTTGTTAGTTGAATTGCCTGAGACATTTTTCAACTGTTGTAGCTTTGTTTCCTGTGAATAGTCTAAGCTTACTGTGACATCATGTTAAGTGATATTCAAGTTTCAAGCATAGAATCCAACAAGAGAAAGATGGATTTTTTTTTGCTATAGCCATAGACCTTCAGATAGTGTAGGATGGTAATAATTTGGAAAAAAATATATGGTTTGGTTTTAAAGGAATTCACTTTTAAAACACTGTTAGAAGATGCTAATACTCTTAATTATCTATGATACAGCACAAATGCTTATTCCAGTGCAATGAATTTTTCTTGAAATTTTTCTTGAAATTTTTTATAATTGCAGAAAAATTTTCTAATTGTTTAGCCCTGTATGTGGTGAGTTTTAAGATATAAAACAGTGGTGAAAGTAGGAGAAATGAGTTAGGATATTATTAAAATGGCCTTCATTGTGACAGAGTATGAGTATTTTAAAGGTATATTAAAGTAATGTCTCTTCAAGCTGATCTTGAGTCCTGATGACTTTAGGGACATGCTCATGTAGTTTTCTTAGAAACAATATAGAAATGATTTGCCATTCTTGTCTTCTGGGATGTTTCCTGACTTCCCCTTCTAACCTACAGCTCTAGTATTCCCTGGTAGTAGGATATTGCGGCTATGACCCTTCAAGAAGTAGCACTATGCTTGCAGTCCTAGTTTGTGTGTAGAGTGTTGGGATGTGCAAAATTCACTGATTTGAGAATGGAATGTTCTGCAGAACAACAGAATGTCTGTCTTCTCTTTGAACCATGCTGAAAGTCAGCTGGACTATGCCATTCTGAGTGAGGTTTGGCAAGTTCTGGAAGTAAATTCCCTAGGCTAGAATTAGCCTGAGATGTCCTAGATATAGTATTTTGAACGTTTCAAACCATATTCTTGTGGTTCAAGAATTTACTTCCAGAAATGGCTGAACTGCTCCCAGAACAGCACAGTCTGGAGATAGAACAAAACATCCTGGAATTTGCTAGAAATTTCCATTCCTGAATAAATGAATTTTGCGTATATCTGTGGTAAAGTGATGGGGCATCATATGCTGTACATGAATGCATACATATATACAGTAGCAATTCCTAGTTACCAAAAGGTAGCATTAGAATTGTTATTAATTTTTTCCTGCTAATGTCCTTAATGCTAATAATATTAATAATAATAATAATAATAATAATTATTATTTATTAAATTTGTATTATTATTATTTATTAAACTTGTATGTTGCCTGACTCCTGACAACTCTGGGCAGATCACAACAGTTAAATAAAGAAATTACAATAAATTGAAAGCTAAAAAATGGCAAGTGGGACAGACCAGATGAAATGAAGTAAGGGGTCTTACTCTCCCTTGCCAAAGGCCTGTATAAAGAACCAGGTTTCATGGCTCTTCTGAATAACAATAGAGTTCAGGGCCATTCAGATCTCAGAGGGAACTTCATTCGAGTAGGCAGGTGCCTAGTCAAATCAAGTCATTCAGAAGTGGATTCTTATATACCTAACTGTATCATGCATTTATTTGAAATATTTATACCTTCCTTTCTTGCAGTGTTTTCCAGGCAACTTGCAGATACAATTAAAACAATACAATGCAATTTTTAGTGTCACTTCTTTATAAAGAATTAAAAAAACACATAATCCTGACTTTTGGAAAACATGGTAGAACTGAAAAAGCTACCTGTACTCTGTTTCTTGAATTAATTTTTACTTTGTATTCACAGGAGAAGATGTTTGGTCTTACGCAAAGGGGCTTCCTCATTTGTTCCAGCAGGGTGGTGTATTCTACAATATAATGAAGAAAACAATGGGTATAATTTCTAATTTTATGTTAATATAGCTTTTCTACTGTACTGTACTTTATATATTCAAAAGTTTGGTGTTAACTACCTTAAACTGATATCTGTATGCTGAAGTTCTTGATCTAGAACCAAAATCTGAAAAATAAAGTCAACTCAAGAACTGAAAAGGACATTGTGATAGAATTAAAACTGAAGACAATTATATTGTAAAACTTAAGGTTCTGAAAACAGTATATGCTGACTTTGTTTGGTAACAGGTTTCATCAGCCTGGCACTTCTGCTATTATTAAGGGTGAGGGAGACATTATATGTCTCCAGAGTGGCATATAATATGCAAGATGGCATAAGCTGCAAGATAATATTGGCTGCTTTCCTTAGCCATATTGGATCCTGTCCCATAAATATATTTGTTCACAAACTGTAAGAGAGGAACAGGGAACTGAATTTGGTGCTATGGTTGGATTTCTCTGATACCTTCCCCCCTCATTATCTTCTGACTATCTTTTCTTTGCTCAGAAAGAGATGAATAAGGAACCCTTTTAGATGTTTTTATTCTGATAATCTTCACCCTAATATAATGGACGGAATTTATTAATTTCCCTCCACAGACAAAAGTGAACAGTGACCTTCCCATATGCTACAAACAGGCAACTGGTTACCTGCAATTTTGTCACACTAGAATTCCCATAATCTCTTATTACTGGCTAGGGTGATTGGGACTGATAGGAGTTGTCCAAAAAAGTCTAGTGGGCTCTGGGTTGTCTGCCTTTGTGCTATACTAAAATCTGCTTTGGAAGATTAGCGGTTATCTGGACATTTCTGAATATGTGTGGCAGAGAAGAAGAGTTGCCAGAATTCATACTCCTCCCCATTGCACTGATTAGCAGTGAAAGAAAAGGCAGTTCGTTTATAATATACTGTATTTTTTTAAAAAAATGAATTTAAAGCATTTTGCACCTTCAAATTATAACAGGGCATCATATTTGAAAATATAGGCTTATTTTATAAGTGGAATTTTATAATATACTCAAGTTTTTTAGTTGATGTAGCTATTTCTGAGTTGCCCACAACCAACTCTAAGAATTCTAAATGTGCTCCCCAGTCCAAAAAGTTGTAGTAGAGAATATTTAGTTGTACAACATCTGATTTAAATCAACCAGACTTGCAACGTTTTCATTCTGTTAAAATGTTTGTCAGATTAACTTCAGTAGGCAGTAATTGTTATGACCTAAGTTTATTGAGCAAGTAACAATTTATTTGAAAATAAACTTCCCAGGTCATTTATATTGTGTTTTTTAAAAATAAACTCCCCTGTTTAATTCCCAATATATTAAAGTTAGTTTTAAATGCAAGTTAATCAATGCTGGAATCCAAAAACTCAATTCTGATCTTACATGTGTATTCCTTCTGGCATCTACAAAAGTGCTGGACTGTAGTATTGTATTCTCATGCATGACATTGCTTCTGCTTCACTGATTTTCTTACAATTTGTTATAAGCCAGAATGGCACATAAAAATGATTGCATCTTACTATAATCGTCTTCTAGAAGCTGTCTAATTACATTTGAATAGTCCTATCACACATTCTCCATAACCTCTTACCAAAGTTTAGACTATCATTGTGTTCTTCAGAAACATAAAATACCACTAGGAAAAAGATAAAATAGTATGAATTATTCAATAATTTGCCCAAAGATACATACTTATCTGTTTTACTAAGTTGGTGAATATTTGTTCTGGTACACGCTGTATTTGTTTTTGCAAAACAGCCATGAATTTAACTAAAGTACATATTTTTACATACTCTTCATTATGGCTATATAAGACCTTTGGGTTTAAAGTCAATGAATACAAAAGAGCAAAGTCCACAAGCACAGCCTTCATACTCTGCTTGTGGACTTCCCAAAAGCATCCAGGGCATTGTGAAACAATTGACTAGGGCATTGGATCTTATTTAGCCAGACTTCTGTTATTTTTTGTTTTGTATTTTGTTGAATGTATTTGGGGTGTATAAATAATACTTTATATTTTGTTTTATTTTTCATATTTTTCTAAGCTTTATTAAAAATCATAAATATGCTTTTTTTATTACTCCTGCAGGTCTGGCTGATGGTGAACACTGTACTTTTCCACACTTGCCTGGCAAGACCTTTGTATACAATGCAACTGAAGATAGATTGGAACTGTGTGTGGATGCTGCTGGACATTTCCCTGTAGGTTCTGATGTTGAAGACTTGGTTAAAGAGGCACTAAATCAAGTACGAGCAGAGGCTTCTTCAAGAAGCAGGGAAGCAAGTCCTTCACATGGACTCCTAAAATTAGGTAGTGGTGGAGTAGTTAAAAAGAAATCTGAGCAACTCCACAATGTAACTGCATTTCAAGGAAAAGGCCATTCTTTAGGCACCGGAGCTAGTAGCCAGCAGCTTCATCCAAAAGTTAGGGAAGCTCCATTTGGAAGAAAGCAAAATACAGGTACAGATTTCAGTACTAATTCTGCCAAACTGGACCCTTCTATGTACACAGGTGATTCTGGAAATAGTGAACTTATACGGATAGCTCCTGGAGTAGGAACAATGAGAGATAGTAGACAGCTTGATCCTAATTTAATTGAGGCACAGCGGAAAAAATTGCAGGAAATGGTTTCTTCAATTCAAGCCTCAATGGACAGACACCTGCGAGATCAGAATACAGAGCAATTGGCAACAAATGATTTCTCTCAAAGGAAATTAGAGGCAACAAGTTCATCCGTTAAAACAAAGAGCCCTCAGATGAGTTTAACTGAATCATTTACTTTATCAAGTGGGAGTGGACTTCTGAATACAGAAACAACTGATAGTAACATGTCAAATGCAGTGGGAGCACCATTCTCCACAAGATCAAAAGCCCAAAAAGGAAATTCTGTTGAAGAGCCTGAAGAAATGGATAGCCAAGATGCAGAAATCACTAATACAACTGAGCCAATGGATCATTCATGAAAAGTTTAACAGCTGATATTAATACAGGAGATTACTGTGCAAATGTAGTTTGTTGGCTGGGCCACATTAATTTAGTCATTGAATCTTGAATGTTTCAAAGATTATATCTTACTCATTGCATGATAGCAAGTGTGATAGACAATAGCTTTTAATATGACATTCTGCTGCCCAGGTTAGCTCTCAGTTACTTGTACATTAGTTATTAGAACATGCACTGAGAAAAAATATCTGCTGTAGCTGCGGGTTACCTTTTTTTTTTTTTTGTAATTTTAATTCCATTAAAGTCTTAATCCTTCAGCCCCTGTGAAATCATTAAGTTTTTTTTTTCCAGTTTGACATGTGAAAATAAAACCTGACAATGCACTGTGTTTTGTCAGATACTGGTCCATATATCATTAAACAACATTCCCTTATACTTGATATTTGAAATCAAATTTATATTTGTTAGATAACTCAAAATACTCAAGTACATTTACTGATAGTTCTTTAAAATTGTAAAGAAAGACATGGAAGATAGTATATAAAAAAACTAAAATAAAGATGATACAATCTGAGCTAACATTCCTTGCTTTGTTGGCAAGTGACAGCATGTTTTATTTTGAGTTGGTAAAGTGCTACAGTATGTTTTTACATGGCAAAGACAAAGTGCAAGCATTTTAAGATCAGAATAATAAAAATTTGGTTTGATTCAGGAAGATTTTACAAGTAGGTGTTGATTATCTGTGCTACCTATTAATGCTTCCTATGTTGGATTAATCAAATTTAACAGAACTTCCATCAGAGGTTTTTCAGTGAATTCATAAAAACTCCTTGTAAATTCCTTAGACATAGGACATACTTAATGCTTTTACTTTAATACACCACTTTAATTAAACTGTATCCACTTCAAGCAGCATATTCACAGATCTACAAGTGCTAATTTTTAAGAAACAGACACTGTGTTTGCTCCAGTAAAAGCATAATGTTTATCTTGATACTAATGTTGCACTTTTTGCCTCTTCGCATATTTCTATTTATGTGTGTTATTACTACTACATCTGATAAAAATAAACTTGAAAGGGTGAAAGACAATATAGAAAAATATAGGAAAGAAATCTTAAGTTCATAGTTATTGAATCCAGTGCTTAGGCACATATGAGTTTTTTCTGGTCTATAAATAAGTTTATAATATAAATACTTGTACTCTTAAAATATGTTTAAACTTTTTGCAGTTACAATCACACAAAATTACTAAGGAATGCTATGATTAAAAATCCCAAATAAGGGAAAGCTTATTTTTTTATGTGGGAAATTAACTTAGAGGTACAATTGCCTCAGTTCATTTGAATATCTTATCCATTCACACACCCTTTTTCTCTTTTTCCTAGACAGAATCCAGATTTTATCTTCTATTGCACTACTTATGTATAAAGCCTTCAAACCACATTTTCATGAATGAATAATTTTAAATATATAATTTTGTTCTTTTTGCTCTTTACTTTGATTAAGAAGTAAAATATGTCAATATGCAGTTTTAAAATTGATCCATGCCATACAGAATAAGATGCCTGCTAAGTACAAAAAACTACTGCAAACTGCTAGCAAACACACAACCAAGTGGCCATGACACAAAGAAACCAGTTGTGCATTCATATGGGATTCATAGGGGTGAGAAGTATTTCTGACACAGGCTAAGTCCATAATGAATTTCAAAACTAGCTTGTAATAAAGCATAAGATAGCTGATGTGATAAACAAGAAAGCAGTGCTTTTTCTGAGCAACAGGACATCTACACTGGATATCTTTAAAAAAAATCTCCTGGCTTCTGTCATATAATGCTTGGAATTACGGTGCTAGAGATGCTGTGAAGAAAATACTTTTTGGCAATGTTAGCATTTCCACAGAGCTTACATTTCTAGGACTCTGGGTAAAAACAATGGCAATTCTGGATTTATTTGAATGTATAATGTTGATAAAATGGCTTGACAGTTTGGTGTCAGACTTTTTATGGTAATGAAGAAATGGAATAATGATTCTAAAGTATAAAAATTATATGATCAGTATCACTTACTGAAAATTCATGTATAAATAGGTTGAGTTGTGAAGCTGGAGAGGCACAGGTGGCTTTTTAATTTTAGTCTGGTTTTTGACTAAGAGTTAAGTATACTTTCTGTAGGAACTTTTCTTTGAGGAATGCTCTTATTAATATTTTTTTTTCTAGGCAGAGAATACATTCATGTTTGTATCTTTTCCTTTGCGACATGTTAACAAATTTTTAAAACACCCAGTTTTTAAAATTAAAATGTTAAAGATTTAGGAGCTATATGAATTTTTCTGCTGTATCTGTAAATGCTTGGTAAACATTACATTTGAATATTTCATATTACAACTGTGCACACAGGTGTAGGCTGATCCCTATCAAAGTTAATGAGACTGAAGTGCACAAATATATGCTCAAGACCATTGACTGTAACGGCATCTTGTTGCAGCTAATTTGCTGAATTTCATTCAGTAAGCTTAAGCCCATATAACTTGCTGTAGTATTGCCTGTTTCATGATTTAATCAAATACAAAGATAATTAATGGAGAAAAATGTTGGATCTGGCAAAAGAAATAGTAATGATGTCTAAACTGAATTTCCTTAAGAAATAAGTAGCATAGTTATATCTGTATTACAGTTTTCTTGAAGGGAAGGGTACCAGTTTGTTAGCTGGAAGATCATGATTTTATCAAGTCAGACTGCTGTTCCTTTCAGGTTAAACAAATTTGTTATTGAATAGCAAAGCAATTTTCTCTGTATATAATAATATAAATATTAGTACAATAGAAGCTTGGCAGTATTCGGTGTACTGGTTTACTAAGGAGAAAATAGCCTCTGTGTTATCAGAGGAAAAAATGCAAATAAAAATAAAATGCATTTTAGAAATTGCTGGTATTAAGGCATTTTGCAGGTTTTAATTTAGATGTAAAAGTATTTTATGATACATTATATGCCCTTACTACATTTCTGTATTTCTTGGAAACTTAAAAGTAGACCTTGTTGCAATTTAAAAAACAAACAAACAAACATCCTGTGTGCTGGACAATGTCTGTCTTCTTTAACTGTTGAATGTTTGTACCTTATTATTTACAAGACAAAAATAATAAAGTAACAAATATTCTGATTTAAAAAAGAATAATACAAATATTCCTTATGTTCTATCTTTCTTCTGCAACTTTAAACATTCTAGTCAGTTGGTTTGAAATTAACAGTATGTTATAGGAAACAGGATATAGGATTTCCTGAGTTATGCTTTCTATTCACTGCTTTAGTAAAGAACACAGAAGAGCATTGCTATACCTTTATTCTAATAATGCTATATGGAAAATGTAGCTTTTTGAAGATCAAAGTGGCTGTTTTTTCATCAGAAAATAATTTAATTATGACACAGTAGTCTAGCAAAGAGTTTGATTATTGTTTCACCATCACATCCAGCCCAGCATACAAGTATGCTTAAGCTCTCAATCTATACTGGTTTTTCTTTTAGATAATTTTGATATGCTGGCTGTTAGGACTTCATCAGTAGCCTGGTAGGGGGATTTATGTATTCAAAAATGGATTTTTCCAATAATTTTTATTAATATCTCAGTCATTTAAATTTTAAGGTGCTGCATTTAAAATTCTTTTATTCAGAATCCGTGCTTTGCCCCTGTGATTGTAGCAAAAGATTGAATGGTAACTGATATTTTTAGATTTTATTTTATTGAGGATTATTGCCAGAAAAAGAGTGCACTTTTGGAAGTAATTGGATTTCTAAAAATGTATAGTAAGCATTAGTGCTGTATATATTTAGGATATCTTTTAAAATGGCAAGTGCTTTACATATTGAATTAAATTAGAGTAGTAATGATACCATGTTCACAATGCTGGCCATTCAGCACATTTGAATTTTATTTGTGATTGCTGTACTAATTTGTTTTTTTTTAATTTGTAATGTAATAATAGTGTATTATAATAGTGTATTATATTACATTTTACTGTACAGTATTTTGAATTTTCTTTGATTGCAATATTAAAAATCTAAGCCAAACAAATTTTTCCTAGTCTTTTTATCAAGTTACCATTACTGAAGTGGTGATTATAGGCCAAATGTCCATGCCTTTCATCAAGACTTAATTGTTTTGTGTAGCTGGATGGGAATAATAAAGCACCAGTGGCATCCCTCTGTTATTCAGAACTGCATTTCTATCAGGGCTTTATACCTAAGTAGACTTTTCAGCTGTTTCTATGTCTCAGAATGCCAGCTATTTAGGAGGATTTTTGGGATTTGGAGATTTGTTGGCTGGGGGAGGGGTTGAATGATACAATCACATGTATTATTTTAAATTCGTATATCTTAGATTGGAGAGCACAGAGATACAGGTACAGAAGTTAGGTGGATTAGAATAATTTTTCAGAGGGCTGGATTGATGTGTGGTAAAAAATGGGCCTGTGGATTTGCTCATCTAGATGGGTACCCTGCTTTTCCTCTTTGAACTCAGAGAAATGTACCTAAAGGACTTCTAGATTGTCTCCACCCATACCTGAGTGGTCTTAAATTTAATTATCTTCAATAATATTAAATGTACTGAGTCCTTCATCCTATGTATGAAGAGTATGCAAGAGAAATTGTAGGTTCTTGAGCTAAGGGGATAAATTGGGCTATCTACCATTGTAAAATGTCTTAGTGGAAATTTGGGGTGGAGGGTTTTTTGTTTTGATAATTAAATAATACTTTTTTTTGGACTTGTTTGCTTTTTTTTTAGTATCCTGTCCTGAGCCCAAAGAAATAAAAATATACAGTACATACTTATAATGGATATTCCCTTGTTTAAGATATACATATTATTTGGAGAAAGATTCACTAAATTGTTAATTTTATTTCATCTGTATATATCAGTTGCTTTCAGTGAAGGATTTATCAGTGGTATTATATTACAATATTAAAATGTTTAATTAGGTTTCAAGTCAAGTTTCAGGCATGGAAAGTCACTAGTGTCTTTAGGCTAACATAAATTAGAAGATCTCTTGGTCTATCAAAGAGCAAATGAAGCCATTACTAATTACTTGCTATTTTGGAAGCAAAGGCAAAATATAAATTCATATTTAATATAAATCATATTTAATATATTAATGAGAAATATTAATATCAACTATATAAAGCCACTTCATAATAGAATTCTTTACAGCATTAATTTCTGAGTAGTGTACAAGGTCATCTCCTAGGAGAGAAGGAAAGGTCCTAAGAGTAAAGAAAACATGTAGCTTTACTGTACTTAACAACATTGTATGTACATCGACTTCAGCCTCTGGCACATTTCCTTAAAAAAAACAAACAGCAGAGTGGATAACAACACTGGCCTACTTAAAGCTCTCATGTCTATCCCCCCCCAGCCGAAAATTGATGCAACAATCGTGGATTACATATGGGGAGGGCACAACTCACTCTCAACCAGCACTCTGTTTCTTGCAATGTGCATAAAATTATAGATTTTACTTACATGTATAGGCAGGTAATTTTTTAAAAAAATGCTTAAATATATATATATATATATTGAAAAAGATATGCTCTGTATTAGAAATATTACAACTGCTCAATTACAACTAGACGATAACTGGATTTCTCGATACTTGTTTTAGAAGGCAGCAATAATTTTCAACGGGCCAAAAAAAAAGTTTCTTTCTTAGGTAGTATGAACTGTATGTCAATTGTTAGCAGTATTCATTCTTTCCCACATAGCAATTAAAAGCAGAAATAGGCTTTTCATTCGAAAAGACACACACTTTTTATATATCTCTCTGCTTTTAGAAGGGTGAGAAAACAGGTCTTTTTTTTAAATGTAAGTTGTGGATCTAGAGATTATGCCCCACAGTTTTAAAATAAACAGCCAAATCGACTGCTTTATCCGCAACTGCTTCCTTGGCCCCCAGTCAGCGCGGAAAGGTTGAATTAGACCCAGGGGAATTTATTTCGGAGTACACGCCTAGATTCATGGTCCTACGTTTCTACGCTCACTGGAAAGCAAATCTCGTTGACTTCAGTGGCAGGTCAGTATATGTTGGACCAGGTTGAAAGCTTTATAGGGGAGATATATTATTCTCGTCAGTAAAATATATTTTTAGGTACCATAGAATATGGGTTGAAGATACAGTTGTATCTGTTGCCTCGTCTTAAAACTCTATCCTCAGCATCACTACTTCCAATGCACATCTGTAGGCTGGACATTAACAAACTCGACCCAGGTCCCTTCGATAGCTCAGCTGGTAGAGCGGAGGACTGTAGAGGCGGAATATCGCATAGGAATCCTTAGGTCGCTGGTTCGATTCCGGCTCGAAGGAGGCTTGTTTTTGTTTCCATTTGCTGATTTCAAACTGGTGTTTCACACTGGAAAGACTTTTCTACCCTCACTGATGAAAGTTGGCGTTTCTTGAGAAAGCATACTTTAAAATCGGGCGCTTTTGTTTACACAGCCAGCAAAAGGAGCCGTTCCGAAAATAAGCCAAAATGTCCCTCCCCTTTTTCTTTTAAAGGAGTGTGAGAAAATGAAAAGAAAGTTAGCACATTCGCTAACGCAACCTACTGCACGCTAGAAACACGTGAAGCCTTTCGTTTTCTCAAGCCCTTGGTGAGGCAAAGACTCGCATTCCCAGCAGCCCTTGAGTTTGAGCCCACCAGTAGCTCCTCCTCCCTCTCCGACTTCTGCAGTATCCCGCCACCTTTCTTCTCTTACTGGCCGTTCCCCTTCCTCCCTCGCCCCAGCTCCCCCGTTTGGTCGCGTGCTTTCTGCAGCAGCCAATGGGGTGTCAGTCCGCGTGCGCAGATTCAAACGGTGGCTCCGGACAGAGGCTGGGCGCGAGATTCGGCGGCAGGGTCGAAAAGGAAAAAAACAACAACAAAAACCCAGCGAGGTCGGCGGCGCCTCCGGAAAGCGCCCGAGGCGGAGGACCGAGCAGTGGCAGCCGGACGAGGGCCCCGCTCGCTTGGTCCCTGAACCTTTCGCCTACCGGTTCTGGCAGGGTGTCGGGCCATGCCCCCTGTGCGGGGAACGAGGCGGGGCCGGGGCTAAAAAGCAGCGCCCCCCTTCCCGGACTCCCCTCCCGGGGATCTCCCGACCGCCTCGGCTGAGTGAGCGCCCCTGGTCGGCGGTGCCATCCCGCTCCCCTTCCCTTGCTTTATGGTGCGCGCGAAGGATGGCGAAGAGGCCGCGCAGGTGAGTGGCCCCGCACACCCTCCCGCTCGCCGTCTTGGCATCCCCCACGCCCGACTCTGTGCTTCTCCCTCTTTCCGCCGCGGAACAGGCCACGCCACCCTCCTGGGCGAGGGCTCCTGACACAGCCTGCTGGTCCTCTCCACGGATCTCAGAAGGTTTCTGCTCTGTTTTCACTTGCTCTGGCAGCTCGGATCTTCTGGCCCGCGTACTTGTTCCCCCTTATGCCTCGGGCTGGATCTTTCTGGTGATGGTCGAGGTTTTGTCACGCAGCCTTCACACAGCGCGAGAGGATGGCCCTAGCTCATTTGTTCAGTTACTTCCTCACTTGATCCTAAACCACATTGTTGTGCCAGGTCTATCCCATTTATTTTCTTTCTTTCTGCACTGCGTCATAAATACGGACATATATTAGTGCATTCCTATTCTGGAATTTCTCTCTCTCTCTTTTCTCTCGTTTCACTCTTTTTTGCTAAGATGCATGTACAGTATGTGCGTGTGTGTGAGAGAGAAAGTCTGAAAGAGAGTGACTAGTGGATCCCCTATATAGTTGTTACTAAATTAGCTTATATATATTTAAATATGGGAGTATGTAAGCAAAATAATATTTAAGGAAGGATTGTAGAAGGGAACAATAAGGTATTAGTCTTTAGTCAGAACCTGAACAGATAAACCAAACAGTTTTGCCTAAATATTGAAAAATTAGATTTAAAAAATGGTGCAAATTGTTTCCTATTTTTCCATATAGCGAAATATGTAGACTACAAAGGCTAACACTCTTTTCTTTGCCAATCAAACCTTTTCTCTGAATTTGACTAAATAATGGTAAAACAGGCATCCAGGATGGAAGAACATTTTATTTGGAATTACTAGTATAATTTCAGGATATAGTGGGTCTTACACAGCAGTGTAGTATTGACACAAGTATGATGTTTTTCTGCTTATTTATTAGGAGAATAAACAAATAGCTAATAGTTGTAACCATTTTTTTTCCAAATTGACACATTTGCAGGATTAATTTCTTGCTCTTTGGTCAGTTTCTCTGAGGATAGCATACAAAAACACACAAAAGAAAAATAACATTAAAAGTAAAGGCAACTGTGAAAAACAACAAAGCTCAAAATAATACAAAACAATCTAAAACTGTGGTTAAAAAAATTAGTAAAACATAGCAGTAAAAATATAGAGAGGACTAAAAGATCCAAAATGTACAGAAACTTTATTTCCTAGTACTGAAAAGACAACAAAGCAAGAGGAGCTATTTACTGAAAGGGCTGGCTACTGGGCAACAGTGTGCAGTCCCTTAGCAAGCAAGGATAATTGGCATGAGGCCTCTAATAATGAATAGATAAAAATATATAGGTACTACCTGACTGGTTGATTTAATTGGTTAATTCCAGGATTTTGAATTGAGTCCAGAGTGGGAACTAAAGAAAGGTAATATAATACTGGCACTGTATGATTATTATGCCCAGTTCCAATCAGTATCTTAATTGGATTTTTCAGTTTACCTTCATGGGCATTCCCACCTATATTATATTATGATTTGTCTCCTTTATCTGAATTAAGTTTTTTTTTTCAACTTTGAATTGTTAATACAATTTTGTAAATCTTTTGAAACTGACAGAACTTATTTCCAAATAAATAGAAGGTATAGAACTAATGTGAATGGCTTGTGAAGATTATAACATGGAAAATTGATCTACTTTAATTATAGTTTATATAACTTTGTTTAATTATGGCATATGATAATGTCCAAACCACAATTCTGCCAACCAGAAACAGTTAGAGAACTGCCAAATCAAGGTTTGAAACCACCATTTGAATTGTATTTACAGACTATAGTTTGTGCTTAACAGAGGCTTTCTATTATATTAGAAATTGGAAATAGTTTTCTGTTCAACTGAAATAAGGATAATTTGGGGAAAAAACCATAGTATTATATCTTTGGTCTATCAAACACTCATTCTCAAACCTTTTCAGACTAACATTTATTAGAAGGCATAAGCTTTTGTGAGCTACAGCTCACTTCATCAGATGCATGTCGCTCATGAAAACCTATGACTTTTAATAACATTTGTTAGTCTGAATATGTTACCAGACTTCTTCCAGTATTTGGCTACCATTGACTAAAACAGCTCTCTTCCTATAATGTTGTTAAGTCTCAGCAATCCTATGTATTACATTGCATTGGCATGCTAAAGTTTTACATAACAGTTTATTTACCTTATTTGAATTAACAGCTGATATATGTAATATTTGGACATTGCATTGGCCTATAATAGAATAACAGGGAAGCATCTAGGGATATATCTTCAGAATAATTTGGGAGAATAATAGCTTTTCCCCATCTTGTGCAGATTCTATAGCAAATGTCATAATAGTCTACCAAGAAAGGCATACAGTTATGTAGAAAATAAAGACCTCTGGCGGTTTGATATTTATATCAAGAATTAGTTACAAGAGTGGAGAATTTGTGGCTCTCTAGATGTTGTATTGTAATTTACATCATTCTTCTCCGTGGCCCATGATGATTGAAAGAATTGGGAGTTGTAGCTCAGCTATATTTGGAGAGTCATGACTGCTACTTTTGACTCAAAGGGACAGAATCGACTTATATGGATAAATAATACTGTAGTCCTGTAGATTGTGATCTTACCAATATATTTTCCTAGAATATTTTAAAACATGAATATTAATGACTCTGAGAAACGCTATTTAGATGTGAATATTTTCTTGGACACAAATAAATGTTGTAAAAGAGTTGAGCAAGAAGACTGTGAGAAAGTGGATTTGGCTGTGCTCTAGTTGTGATAATATTTGATACCCTGCTTGAAACTTTTGCCAGGAAGACTATGATAAAATTGTAAATGAAACACCTAATTGTGTTATGATTAATACAGTATTCTATGAAGCCAGTAGATGGCAGGCTGTTCTCAAGGAAACACAAAGGCGACAACTCTCCTTGTTTGTTTAATAGATTTGAAAATGAAAGCTGCTGTTTAATTATTGTTTCATAATGTGCAATATTTGCATAAAATTAAAAGAAAAGTATGATTTTTTTTCTTTAAATATGTTATTTTGATCTAGGAAAAATGCCATGTATAAACTAGTCTAGGCATTTGCACAAAGATACAATGAATGAAAGTAATGTCTTCACTTCCATAATGTTAATTTAAATAGGGATATTTTAATAAATGAAATCAGAAAATAATTCTTGAAATGAGCTTTTTTGGTACCTGTATTATCCATATAATCACCACCGTTTGCTATATACTTCTGCCAGTGATGGGCAAGCTTCTTAAAGCCATCATGAAAGAACTCCATACTTTGTCTCCTGACAGCCCTTTTTACATCTTTATGTGAGTCAAACAGATGCCCACAAAGATATTTTGGAAAAAGGTGGAATTTGCATGGCACCAACTCTAGACTTTATGGTGGATGGGGTAAGATGATGAGATCCAACTTCAAAATTGCCTTTTGGGTGGCTTGTAAATTGTGGGGCCTAGTGTTGACATGTTGCAGCAAAATTTCCTTGTGCTTCTGAACTCTGCTTAATAGGAGTTTTCAAAGTTTTGCATGTTGCAATGTAATACTCTAATTTGATATTGGTTCCTGGTTCAAGGAAATCCAGTGGGATAATACATCTGCAACCCCAAAAACTGTAACCATGAGTTTTTCTGCCAAAGCCCAGATTTTGAACTTTTTTCCACGGGTGAAGTTTTGTGATGATACTCCATGAACTGACGCTTCTTTTTTGATCATAAGAACGAACCTGTTTTGTTCACTGTCACAATGCTGTGAAGAAATTCCTCACCTTCATTCTTGTAGTGTGACAATAATTACAGGGAAATTTCAACTCTTGAAGCTTTCTGCCATCAGCATGTGAGGAACCCATCTTGCACAAACCTTCCAGTATTAAAGAATATCAATAATGTGACCCACATGTTCTTGTAAAATGCCAGGCTTGACAAAAATTTCCCCTTGAGTGATCTGTCAATTGTCCTTCATCAGTTCATCAAACTTTCTCATGTGAAATTCGTTGGTTGTTCTCACAGGTCATCTACTTCATTCTTAATCACACAGATCGGTTCTTCCTGGTTCACTATCTTTACAATTTGTTGGCCCAGCAGTGCACACTACTCACATCAATACAGCCATCATCATAAACAATCTGTATTGAAAGGTGAAATTTAATTGGAGGGACTCCTTTGTTAGTCAAAAATTCAATTATGACATGTTGCTTAAAGCACACTAACAAGTATCTACTGCAGTCTTCCATTTCACGAATAAACACAACTTTTTCTCACTGCAATTTCCTGCTGGCTGAAGTGAAAGAACACATGCTAAAGAACATGTCACAGCTTCTAGTGCATCAGTATTGCCATCTGTTTGCAATTTATAACAATGGAGGCATTACTTTTCATTCAACCCTCATATATGTTTGGTTTTCCAAAAATAAGATTTGTGACACTTTCTGCATGTTTGATTATGCCACTATGAGAATGTGTCTGTATAATATATATGAAATATTGTATAAGATACATTTGCTTTAAATTGGTGTTAGCCACTCTGGGAAACCAGCGTGTTACCATTGGAACTAAAGATATCTTTCATAGTATGCTTAAATTCTCTATTCTTTTTTTTTTTTTCCTGAAAGCATCAAGGTTTGGTCTTGGCTTAGATCAAGAATGTGAAATAGGAGAGGGGTGCAATTTGGGCAGGCCCTCAAAGAGAAAAGAATGTAAGAGTAAAAGCTAAAGACAACTAAGAAATATCCCAATTGTGATATTCTTCCCTGGTTGCTTTCTGCTTAAAAAATGTAGAGACATGTAAGCATGGTATTCATTTATACCATTCACATTATGCCTACTTTGATCCTGTGTATTTTAGAAGTGCATATTTATTTTCTCAAAAGGATTTGATTTGGTTGCTTCTCAAAGTTTTACTTAGACTTTAGCTACTCAGTTGATGATAGTATATGAACAGATGCCTAATAATTTGCAGTATCTTTGAGTTGCAAATGTTGACTATAAGTCCTCTTTAAAGCATGTGATACATAGGCATAGATTTACTGTCAATGTTAACTTAATAATAGCTTGCACTTTGCAGTGAGGAAGATGATGATGACCTTCATTATGCAGATCATGACTATGAAGTACCACAACAAAAAGGGGCAAAAAAGATATGTAACAGAGTGAAATGGACCCGTGATGAGGTGAGCTTAACCGTACCATGGCATATCTTCCATACAGTATTGGGTTTAGTGTTATAAGTGTATTTATAGATATTTTATCATTTCTTACAGGATGAAAAGCTTAAAAAACTAGTAGAACAGCATGGTACAAGTGACTGGACATTTATTGCTAGTCATTTACAAGTAAGTAGAAAATGATTTACTGAGGCTTTTCTTATTTAGTGTTCAAGCATTCAGAGGTCTCATAGCATCACTGTCTGAACAAACAATAGGCAGCTAGAAAAAAGATAGTTCTGTATATACATCTATCAGAACTCAACAGGAATTCTTAGTTCTTAGTGGAAATGCTTTGTAAGTATTAGAGTTCTATAAAATCTTGAATCAGGATGACAAGTTACACAGAGAATAATTATTTTTCTTTTTTTTTGCAGAATCGTTCTGATTTTCAGTGTCAGCATCGATGGCAGAAGGTCCTAAATCCAGAACTTATTAAAGGCCCCTGGACTAAGGAAGAAGATCAGAGGGTATCGGATTTATATTTATATTGCTCCTAAGTACTAATTTTGTTTCAGAAAGGACAGTACTGTTATTCAGGTATCTATTGTCCTGTTTTGCCATATGTTGTTCAATACAGAGTAGGATATAAATAAGAACATTATAAGTGTTTGTATCCATGTTCTTTTGCTCCTTAAAACAAAGATGCATACCTTTTTTTTAGCTTAAGAACTGCACTTAGCCTTTAATTAGAATACATTTCTATTTAATATGATTACTCTCCATAAGTCTTAACATTCCTATTCTCTATTATACAATTATTGTCTTTAATTGTGCAGAAATTTAAGTATTGATTAACATCTTTCCTCACTGAATTGTTAATATTGTTCCTTTTGGAAACAAACGTTAACATATGTATCAAATCAATAAAATGTTATGTGAGACTGGCAATACCTTTCAAATAAAATGACTATGTATAAATAAAGATTTTCCAAATTAATTTTATTTTCTACAATTCGTTTCTTTTCAGATTTTTAAGCCTCTTTTCAGTTTTACATCAATTTATAGTAATAAGTACAATACAATTTGAAATAAAATAGTTAAAAAAAAGACAGAGACAACATTTAAAATGTTCCCTAAGTGGATTGCAAAGTTACCAATTAAAAACAAAGACAGTAAAATACAATAATAAATAGTAAGGCTCCAGAGCATTATGGACTTAATTCCAAATAGGTTCTTTGGAGTACTCAGTGGTGTAAAGGTAGCACATTTTTACAACTGAGCTATGTCTTTTCTCTGGATTGTATGAAGCTGTGGAGAGTAGCTGTGGATTCCTGGAAAAGATGCAGTGGCTTTAACAAGGTGTAGTCAGATGCTGCATAGATGTCATTGCCTATCCTGAAGTGCATTTTTGGAATTAAGTCTGAAGTATTGCATAGTTCTATAAAAAAGTTCCATAAAGAAGACAGTATCAGACATATAAATGCCACTAGACCTGTATCGTATGGGCAGTTACAAAAACACCTGGGAGAAGAGTGTTTTGGCCTGGAGCAGGCATGTCTCTATAGAGAAGACATTCCTCTTCCTTGCAGCTATGCCAAATTTTATGACTTGGTGGGCATCTTGAGGAGATGGCTGGGGTAAAAGAGTAGATGCATATATAATATTTTGCTTCCTTACATTAAATATCTAGTTATCTAGTTTCACCATTATATATTTGGAAGGGAATGTTATCTAGCTTTGTAAGATTATTTCTATATCCTATCCATTAGATTTTCTATTTTTATACTGTACTTCACCAGCTTGCTTCTAAGTGTGATATTAGGTCTGGTTCATACAAAATGCTATGATGTAATGTGAGGCTTTTTTTTTTTCTTGCTTAGATCAATCGACCCATTATGGCTTTTTCAACAAATTATGCTTTAGAAAATCCTGGCTTATGTGGGATCTCAGCCATAATATTTTCATGATTCTCCTCTCCCTCTCATTTATTTAGCCCATTTCGTGGCTAAATAAATAGAATGAGATTCTGTGCTTCTTCCGCATAGGTGCTATTTTTTCTTAAAACAATGCTGGAGAAAATGTGCCATTCAATTTGTATTCTAGGTGATTGAACTTGTTCAGAAATATGGTCCCAAACGCTGGTCTTTGATTGCAAAGCACTTAAAAGGAAGGATAGGGAAACAATGTCGAGAGCGATGGCATAATCATCTTAATCCGGAGGTAAAGAAATCTTCATGGACAGAAGAGGAGGACAGAATCATCTATGAAGCTCATAAACGTTTGGGAAATCGATGGGCTGAAATTGCAAAACTGCTTCCTGGGAGGTAGTTTGTTTATTTGTTTGTTTGTTTAAAATGTTGCTATTGTATGGCTCTGTTTGCACAATATACTAATAAATCTTCCATTAACCCAGTTAGATCTTAGTTACTGTTCATTTTGGTAGCAAACCATCACATTTAACTGGTTTAAGTCTCCAATTTGGGAATATAGAGATTTTGCCCATTTTCTTCATGAAATGCCCTTATGCCAGAAAACTGCCGGCACGGCTTTATAATATTACTGGTCAGGCAGCAACAGTGCTTCAAGTCTTAATTCATCCCAAAATAGAGAGCTCTCACTGCCTGTCCCTACCGTCCTGCTCCCCCCCAGCAAACCCCTTTCTTCCCAGTCTTATCACCACATATTTCCATGATCCTGTGCAACCTTGTCCCCTCCTGCAGTGTGGCCACAGATGGCTTAAGACAGGCTGTCAAGAGGAATGTTGAAAGGCTCCCATTTGCTCACCAGCCATTTTAAGTTTCAGACCAATGCCCCCCCTCCCCCATGACCCATGAAAAGCAAAGCAATTTAGTTTCTTTGCCCAAAAAGCAAAGCTTTTGATAAGAGAAGCAAATGATAGTGAAGAAGCCAGCTCCAACCACTAAAGAGGATCTACAAGGGCATAAGGCAGCTTTAGAAAGTGAGAACAGGGCAATGAGGCATAATTCAGGAAACACTCCTGGCCTCTAGGATATACTTGTGCAAATCTCTGTTAGAAGGTTACTACTTTGATTTTCCTCCCACATTTTTTGAGAAGGGATAATCTAAAAGTATTATAACATTTTAATACTTCTTTTAGAAGCATTTAAAATGCAATTTCATTTTAGGAAATTCTGGAAATGTAATTTTGCATTTTACCATTTATGACTTTTGTTATTATTTCTTAATTAGGCTACATAATTCTCAATTCTATGCAATACGTAATAAACATAATGTTTACATTATGGACATAGTATAACTTATTAAACACTATCTCATTCAAAAAGAGTTCATTCTTTTCCATTGAAATTGGTGCAACTTTGGAGAACTTGACTTTGGATTATGTCCTATAATTTGTTTAGGACTGACAACTCAATAAAAAATCATTGGAATTCTACTATGCGAAGGAAAGTTGAACAAGAAGGATATTTACAAGATGGGATCAAGACAGAGCGCCCTTGTTTATCAAAACTGCCACACAAAACTTGTGTGTCTACAGATCATCTGCATGCCCAAAATCAATTTTACATACCAGTTCAGACACATGTAGGTTCCCAAATTTTTTTTTATATCCGTATATTTTACAGTAGGGGAATGTGTATTAGAGCTTCATGCTGCAAATAATTTAGAATAAGATATTTGAAAGAATCCAGAATTTTTAATACCTTCAGTGTTGTTTTAGCCTTTTCATATTTATTTTGTTTTTGACACTTTTTTTGATGTAAAAATACTTTTTCACTGGGGCCCTGAAAACACTTGGTTTCTTATTTTGTTCATCTTAATGTTCTTATATTGTCTTAAACTAGCAATTTTTAAAAGTAAGCATGTGTACAAATTAAAATGTTTTCTAAAATGTTTGTCATTCTGTAGAAATAATTGTGTGAATATAATTGTGTAAATAACTGTTGATTTCTTAGATACCAGGTTACCAGTATGTCTCAACAGAAAGCAGCTGTTTAGACCACGTCGCAGCTCCTTCAAACTTCATTCAGGTAATTGCTGGGTAATTATACCGACCTTTTAGTCTTTCTACAAGACAATGATGATAACACAAAAATATTTCTGTTTAAGAGCTATATGAAAAAATATTCTTAATAGGGAGCACAGGAATACAGTCAACCTCAATTCCTTTGAAATGATTGACATATTATGGTGTCTAATTATTTGTACACTTTTTCCATCAAGGAAATGGAACTGACTTTGATAAATAAAATATTCATAAGTTAATGGAAGTTGAATTATTTCTAGATCTTGGATAGCAGGTAAAATCCATGTCCATGAATCCTTGAATTTTTAAAAATATGTGGTCTGTAGTATTAAATTGCTATTTCTTTCCTCTCCAGAATTGCAGCTTGTTTTGTTTTTTAATATATCAGTTTAATAGGATGGAAATTGCTTTTAAGTAACATCTTGCTAAAGAATAGATGTATTTAAGAATTTGAGGAAGATTTTTTTTAATTGAGCAATTATGAAATAAAATAATTACTCATGGTCAGCTTGTACATTTATATCAACACCACCCTAGAGTTATGATATGTATTTTAAAATATTGCCAAATCCCGTTTCCTGTTTTGATTGTAGTTAGTCCCATAGTCTAATATATAACCATGTCTGTACAGAGCTAAATCAGACTGATAAAATATGACAGTAAATTAAAGGAGTTAATAGTTCCACGCTGTTTTGCCCTAATCAGGTCCAGTTTCAAATACTGTGTTCAGTTCAGGGTACTATATTTTATGGATTTGGACCAGTTTGATGGTGTGCAAGGCAGTTGTGATAAAAGTTCTGTCCCTTTGTACATGTTTGCAATGTTGGTGCATATCCAGTGGGTTGGGGCTTGCAATGTTATTGCTGCCATTTGCTGTTTTAACCTCTCCAGTGGGCACCACTAATTCAGAGGAGGGCCAGGATGATCAGAAAATTAGAAACTGAGTGCTGTGAGGAGAGACTGAATGAGCCAAGGATCTGTGGGTTCAAGAAGAGAAACCTGGGAGGAGATAGGTTATCATTCTTCATGTTTCTGAAGGAAACATGTAAAAGAGAGCTTTGACTATTTATCTAACAAATTTAAGACATAGAATAATATTATTAAGTTACCCACAGGCAGATTCTGGTTGAATGTTGGGAAAACTTTCCTAAGTGTAGTTTGACAGTAGCATCAATTATTAGGGCTGTACAGTGCTTCAAATGCAAAGAGTTGTCAGCCCTTTGAGGTAGTCCAGACAAAAAACACCAACCATGGGCACTAACACTACCTTTATCGTTAGGATACAGTAACAGAATCTTGCAAGTCTGAAAGTACCTCTCCCCTCCCTCACTTTAACTTTCCCAAAAACTAGGGAGGGTCCCTTCTGAGACACTTTCTTCACCCTCACCCCTCCTTCGGACTCAGATTTCGTTTATCAGCCCATTATCTAGGCTGTGGTTGTACCTCCTGTCTCTCAAGATCATTGCCACATACCATTACAGGGGTGAAATGTGATTTTGAGCATGCATAGGCATGTTAAGAGCACTTTAAAACAGCTATGTCTTCTCCAGGGCTCATCTGCTACCCTCCACAGCTGCTGCATGATCCAAGGGAAAAAAATCTGTTGGTTTAAAGCAGGGGTTCCTAAACGTTTTGCCATCACACCTCCCTTTAGTGTAATTTTAATGTACACACCTCCCCTAAAAATCCAAACACCAAAATGAACACAAATGAACAATGAACACAATGCAATGAAACTTTGGGAAAGATGGATTTATTATAACAATGTAACCAAAAGTTTCTTCACACCTCCCCTGGACTCTTGTCTGCACCTCCCCAAGGAAGATACACCACAGTTTGGGAAATCCTGGTTTAACGTGTTTTTAACAGGTATTCTGTGTATTGCTTTTCTCTTTGACTCCAGAATGTTTCCCAGTCTAATCAATTACAGGTAGTCCTTGCTTAACAACCATTCGTTTAGCGACTGTTCAGTTATGACAGTGCTGAAAAAGTGACTTATGACCAGTCCTCATATTTACAATGCTTGCAGCATCCTGCAGTCACGTGATTGCCATTTGCGACCTTCCCAGCCGGCTTCCGACAAGCAAAGTCAATGGGGAAGCCGGCAGGAGGCCGCAAGTCGTGGTCACATGATGTCTTGCTTAACGACTGCAGGTGATTCGCTTAACAAGTGCAACCAGGACTGCCATCACTAAGCAGGGCAGTCACGTGTTGTTTCATCTTAACGACCACCTTGCTTAGTGACGGAGTTGCTGGTCCCAATTAGGGTTGTTAAGCAAGGACTACCTGTACCTAGTAAGATGATGGCTCCCCCTTGTTGATATGTTCAAGCAGAGACTAGAGAGCAATTTTTCAGGGACGTTTTCTCTGTTGAGAATATAGATTTTTATTTCAAACAGCCAAAATGGTACCTTCTGATACTATGATTTTATAAAATGAGACTTCCTTCCAAATACTGTAAGTCTGTCAGGATTACAACTTTGCTCTGAAATTATTTTGAAGCGTATCTTTGGAAATTAGAGGGCTGACTTTCTTTTAAGAGAATGTTATCAGCTGTGTTGTCACTATTAAGAATATTTACTTACTGCCCTTGAATTGTAACAATACCAAAAGTCCTGTTATCCTCTCATTCTAAAGTCCCTTACAAATTATCTCTTAGTTGTGTGTCCTAAATGTAATTCTGTCTCTTTGTGTGTTCTTTTTTTCTTCAATGTCCCTTCTAGCAGCCATTTGATGATGATCCTGACAAAGAGAAAAAAATAAAAGAACTTGAATTGCTACTTATGTCAGCTGAAAATGAAATCAGAAGAAAGAGAGTATCCTCAGTAAGAGCAGCTTGTACAAATGTGACATTTTTGCTGATTGGCAATTAGATCTTTCTACATCTCTGAAATTAATTAATGAATAAATATACTGTAATGGCATTTGAAGCATAGTGGAAGAAATCCTGTTTCACTTCCCTCAACAAATGGGGTAGGGGCAGTTGAGAAAGAGTTTGGATGGCATAAAATGCTGCTTTTAATCTTCTTTCTTTTTAATTTTTAGAACAAAGGATTACATACTTACTATTTTTGGTGCCTTTTATTTCTCCTTTGATGAATCAAGGAAGGCTAAAAAAGTGTAGAAAGAGAAGCATGAGGACCATCCTGCATAACTAATAGCTAGAGGATTATATGTTGCATGCTTTCTGTATCATTTGGCAAAATTATGAAGAAAGTCTTTCCTCTCTAGACAGAGGCAGGCAACATTTTGGTGGCTAGGGGCCACATTTGTTTTTAAAAAAAGACAGGTTAAGGGCACAGCAGGTGGGGTGAGTACTTAGTGATGCCATGCAAGTGGGCAATGCCCTCTCCAGGGGATTTGTGTTGGGTACTTCTGATATTTAATTTTTATTTATTTTTGGTTTACTAAGCCTAAAGGAATGTGTACATACCATAAAAAATTGTGGGATATGAAATGCCTCTGTTTTTTGACAGTTTGCCATTGAAATTTAGCAGTATGATTTCTTGGACTACAATAAAGATGATTGACAGGTTAAAATTAGACTCAACTACCATTATTGTGAGAGTGGTTGGTATGGAATGATTCCAAAATGTATGTCTGATTTAGATGGAGGCTTAATAAATGGGCTGAAGTACCCATGTTTTGACAAAACTGTGTGACTTTTAAGAATGTGCCATACAGTTATATCAGCAGCATAAAGCTTTGTATTTTTTTGGAGATAAGCCACTCTATTAAATGGGGCTTACTTCCAGGTAAGTGCGTACAGACTAATTAGAACCACATTACATTGATTTGCTGACCATTTTCTATATCACATTTCCATAATTGCCAGTGAAGGTAATTAATCATACATCTTCTATAGTAAGTTTGATTGATCTTTCATGTTTAATTTTCAATAAAACAGCAACATTTTTTGTGTTCTTAGCAAGCCGGAAATTTTTCTAACTGGTCTGGAAACTTCATCATGGAGGATAACATGGCAAATACTTTAAATAGCCTTGGGGAGCAAACAAATGACTTTTATGATATAGATGATACACAAGCTGCAACAAATCAGCAAACGTCACCTACCAAATATTTGGCTGTGGAAGCGAATGCAGTGCTGTCATCTCTACAGACCATTCCTGAATTTGCAGAGACACTAGAACTCATTGAATCTGTAAGTGTCAATCATATAATTCCTATAATAAGTACAATCAGAAATTTTAGAAATCTTTAATAACTTACTAGGATCATAAGTAGTAATCATTTTGTTCAATAAAGCTGGGTTATTAACTGTTTATTAACTTTTGTGGGGGAAATAATATACAATTAGTGAACATCTGAATTGCTGGGATTATCTGAGAAAGTAAGGTTATTAAATCGAACTAAAAGTATGTATTAAAACTAAAATTAATATCTAAATGTATATATTAAAATGATAAATATATAGTTAAGTCACTGATATCCCCAGTCCAGCTGGGGATAAAATAACTCTTCTTTTAAAGAAATGTTGTGGGTATTTTCTCTCTCTCTTCTGTTGATGGATATTGGAGGATCCTGTAGCATGGAGTGATGTCACCAGCTTTGACCTTTCTGATGTGGTTCCCTCACCTGTCAATCAAGCTCCAGTAAAATTAATGCGTATTCAGCATAATGATGGGGCCATGGAGTGTCAGTTTAATGTAAGTGTTGTACTTGATGGCAAAAAAACATGTGATGAAGAAGAGCCAAGATCTCCAAATGCAGCCAAATTCAGTACTCCTCCTACTATTTTACGCAAAAAGAAGAAAGTCAGAACTGGACAGTCACCAGCCTGTGAACAGAATGATGGATTGTGTAACAACATTTCCACTACTACACTAAAACAAACACCAGTGAAAACACTACCTTTTTCTCCTTCTCAGGTAAATAAATATAGTGATTGCAACTAGTGATGTTTTATATGTGTATTTACTATTTATCAAATTGCAAAACAAATGTATGAAGGAAAAATGAATGGGTTGAGAGGAAGAGGAAGACCAAAAGAATTATGGTTGGGTGGAGCTGATGAGATCCTCAAAAACCATGGGGTGAAAAGTTTAAAGAACAGAAGATATGATGAAGCGTAAAGATGTGATAAAAGCCAGGATGTTTTGTAAGAATAGAAAGGTATGGAAAGATATGGCAAATGGTGTTTATGTAAACTAGATTTAGCCACATTTCTTTTTATTATCTTGTGTCTTTAATTTCTTTGGCTTACTATTTTGTGCTGCTTTTCTGTGCTGTGCATAATGTTACTTAGCCTGAAGGGGAATAGCATGATGGATGTGTATGTATGATGTATTACCTTTTTTTTACAATCAGCTGAAACTCTCTGGGTAGTTTATAAAATGATATCAAATACAACAATAACATCAAATACAAAAATAAACATATAACATCTAAAAGAAATTAAAAGAACCACATATCAAAGTATGGCAAATAACTGAGGATACCAGACAGAGTTTAAAATGGAGAAAGTAAACTAGTTAATTAGAAAATGATTTAACCATTAGTATATTGAAAGCAGTTAGATAGAAGTACAGTTTTAAAAAATAAAATTATTTAGTTCTGGTTACAATGGACTTTAAAGCATATTTGAACATCTTGAAATGCTTCCCACGTTGTCAGTGGTGTGTAGTACGATATGTAGATCGTTTTTTTCTTTCAACCTCTCATAGAGATGACTTAAAAGAAGAGTACTGAAAATGTAAAGACAAACAGTAACACAGAATGATAAGAAAATCGTATTGATTGTAAAGACAATTGGCAATTTTGCTACAAATTGTTTTAAGATTGTGAATATTTGGGGAAACTATCTCCTTTTGTATAAATAATGATTAATGTTTTTTATGAGAAAATGTTGCTGTACAAAGCTATACAAGGCAACTCTTCAAAGTGCATATATAATGTTATGACAGGTAGGTCGTATTAATGTGGGCTTTGTATGAAGGTCTTCTTTATATGCATATTTAGCTGTGGAACATCTTTCCATTGTGGTACAAGATGTGGAATAATTATTTCTCTTGCTACAGAGCTGTTCATAAGTGTATGTATAGCAGACATTAAACAGTTGGAATTAAATACTTATTAATTTATATTGTGTAATTTTGTATTGTTTTATGTACAGTTCTTCAACACATGTTCTGGAAATGAGCAGTTTAATCTTGAAAATCCTCCATTCACATCAACTCCAATTTGTGGCCAAAAAGTTCTTATTACAGCTCCCCTACATAGTAAAGATGTAACACCCAAAGATCAAAAGGAAAATGCTGGGTAGGTACATAATTTAATATGGATTAGGAATTAAATATGATTTTTGAAACAAAGAGAAATGAAAAGGGAAGTAAATCTGACTGGACTAAAAATGATTTCTAAAATATCATAAAAGACAGGTTAAAATGGATTCTGCACTCTGCATAAAGCCTGTTCATTCAGAACAACCTATTTTGATTATCATATGAATTTGCTTAAATATCTTTGTATTTTATATAGTTTTAGGACACCTACTATTAGAAGATCTCTACTAGGCACAACACCAAGGACTCCAACTCCATTTAAGAATGCTTTAGCTGCTCAAGAAAAGAAATATGGTCCTCTGAAAATTGTGGTATGTACTATTTTGATTCATATCCTTCTATAATGTGACCAAACTAATTTTATGATTAAAAACTGGTGGCTGAGCAATACTATATAACTCATATTTGGAAAAGTTCAAAAATATGTTATAATATCTGGTTTCTACCCATACTGTTATGCTACCATATTTCTATAAGTTCTGTAAATTAAATACCAAAATTAAACTTGTGAATTGGACTGAAGTACAGTGCACCCTCAATTTTATAGACCTTGATTCAGCGGATATAAGAGACAAAATCTAAATTTCAAGCTGTAACAGACTATTCAATCCAAGCAAGAGACAATTTGAACAATGTACATTCTGGATACATTTTGTGTTTGTTATGTATATTACATATATTCTATGCATGCATAAATCCTATCTGCATTTTAACAGATACTTAGCCGTAACAGACATGGTTTCCCTCTGTTCATTTGTTAAATCAAGGCTTTACTGTATTTTAAAATAGTGTACTCTAAAACTCTGGACTTTAAGAGAAATACTGATTGGTGGCTCACTTAATGACTGCCCTGTTTAGCAACTGTTCAAAGTTACAACAGCACTGAAAAGGTAACTTTATGACCAGTCCTCACACTTAGGACCATTGCAATGTCCCTGCAGTCACATGATTGAGATTTGGGTGCATTGCAACCGGCTGGTGTTTACAACCACCGCAGCATCCCATAGTCATGCGTTCGCCATTTGCACGCTTCATAGCTGACTTCCAACAAGCAGAGTCAGAAGCTGGCATAAAATTGCAAGTCACAGTCACATGGTGTCTCGCTTAATGACTGCAGGTGATTTGCTTAACAAACATGGTGGAAGTGATGTCATAAGTCTGTCGCGGTCATGTGATGTCTTGCTTAATGACTGTGTCACTTAGCAATAGAGTTGCCAGTCCCAGTTGTTGTTAAGTGAGGACTACCTGTATTGAGGTGTTCCTTCATTTTATGCCCCATAAGAACCCTGCAAAATAGTTTGGACTAAGATAATTGGTAGGGAATTGGGGGTGTTGAGCCCCTGTTGGCGCTGAGAGCAGCCGGCTGAAGTGCCACAGGGGCACGCGCCCCCACCCCTTTTTT